CTGTGTGGTGGAATTGCTAATACTAAGGGTAAGCTTCTACTAGCTGAGATGTTCTCCGTTTCCTGGATACTAAACCAACAACAGCCAATGTTCCATACCTTTAAGACTGTCATGAGATTAAAGGTGTTGATTGCTTTAATCCATATAATTTATTCTCATTAACTGGAGACCAGGAGCGGTGTTGATGCAGCTATTTTCTTTTCAAGTGGTTTAATGTTTTGTTCAAACTTAATTACTCCACTTATAAATGGGAAAAACAATTGATCCGTGATATTTTAAGACCGCAACAATGGTTCATGGTTTTTTATTTGCCTTTTTTCTTCTATTTATTGTAATAACCTGGAAAGCAGAATGCAATTTGAAATTAGCCAGTGGCGAGATCTAGTGCAAACAAGTTTTCTCTTTTTAAATTAATGCAGTGTGTACAGTGGCCCTGCTTGACAAACAGACTGAATCTAATTTGATGTTATTCGTTCAGACTTTAATCAGCTGAACGATATTTTAAATTGATTTTTTAAAAACCTTCAGCTTTTGTTTCCTTGTTGATGATGTGGTTGTGATGTTGTTGCTGCACTTCAGCAGAACTTTTAGTACCCATAATCAGTCATAAATGTCTAAAATGAGCCTATAGTCCTGACAGATTTTCTGAACGTAACCACGTCTACTTCCTACATTCCTCATGTCACTTATTTCATCTAAGTGTGTCTGCAGAAACTCAACTCTGTCCTCCAACTTTATATATCAAAGATTTTTTTAGGAAAAAACTCCTCCACCCACACGGAAAGGATTCAAATGTAACTCTAAATCCCAATTTTTTGTGTGGAGATCTATAAATATGCAAATTGGTCTCTGCCACTATCTCCACAGCACACCTTTAACTCTGTTCCAATACTGTAAATCTACTCTGCATTACACAATAGTAGAAAAGGAACAAGGAGAAAAGCAAACGGTACAAGGTTGCCACCACCATAATGTACCAGAATGATAATGGATTTCACATAAAGGTATCTTTGTCCTCATGTTAGAAATGTAAGAGGAATAGATACCATGCCTACATTTTAAATGAGCTAATAATGTGCTGCTAATATTAGATAAACCCAGTCTCTGTCTTCCATTCTGACCCACCAGTTAACAGGACTGGTTCACTTGAGACTGTTCTTCCAAATGCTTCACCATCCCATTTACTTCTCATTAATTGTCTCAAATCTATGTGCCTGCCTTGTATAATAATTAGCTTGTACTGCTACAAGTTCTTCAGCCGTGACCTGTGCACACCGACTCCTGTTTCTGGATCAACTGTGTGCATACAGGTGTGTTGATATGAAGATGAATCGTGGTCGGGACCTTCGGCTGGTCTCGGTAACGGTTGGACTGATATTCTCGTCATTTTAAATTTTCCTGCAGTAAAAGTGGAGCTCTGAAACTTCAACAGAGTAAAAAAAAAAAAATCGGCGGAACTATTTTGTTTAAAGGTAAAACTCATGCCAATCAAGTGCTACAACTACTTTGCATTTTTTCTTCACAATTTCTTTATCCGAACAAAATGATTCAAGTAATTCTGTTCAACAAGCATCCTAAACGTTACACTTTTTTGTTTAATCAATAATAGTTTATTGTGAATTTTGGGATGTGTAAATATTAATATATGTGGTATTGATGATGTGTAAAGGGATACTGAATATTGTAAATGTTGTGTACTGTACTGAACACTAGGTGACAGCAGAACACTGCTAATATATATATATAGAGGTGTAGTGTAGAGTTGTGAGGGTTACAAGATGAATGTATGCTGTACTAAAGTTCATAAAGTTGCTGTCTGCTTTCAACCAACACCAAAGCATAACAGTAAAAATATGAAATGAGTTTCTTTCTTTTCTTCATGAAGAGCGATTTGTCATGATTAATTTTAATAGTAGTTTTAGTTGTGTTTGGACCACGTAAAAAAGGTTTACATGATCTATTGTGCAGAACAGTGCTGCTAAGTTTTTAATTGGAACTAGAAAAAGGGACCACATTTCTCCAGTGTTGGCTTGTCTTCACTGGCTCCCAGTCTCATACCGGGCACAGTTTAAAATTCAGCTTTTTGTGTTTCAGTTTTTCCAAGGCAGTGCTCCCACCTACTTAGCGGAGCTCTTAATGAAGCATGTTCCCTCAAGGTCATTACTGTCGGCTGACCAGAAATGGCTTATCGTCCCTTGCACCCGATCTAAGACTCGTGATGATCGGGCTTTTCAAGTCTTTGCACCCTCTCTCTGGAACCAGCTCCCACTCACAATCAAATAGTCCCCATCACTGGTAGTTTTTAAGAGCAGGTTGAAGACTCATTTTTATAGGATGGCTTTCTCCTAAAACTTTTGGTTTCTGGTTTTTATTTTATTTTTTGTTCTTAGCTTTCTTTTAACTAAATAAGTTTAATTTTCTTTTATCTAAATTTGATCTCATTGGCATTTTATTGTTCTCACAAATGTCTATGTTCTTATTTTGTTTATAAGGTTTTTATGACTTACTACTTTTATCTTTGTTACTTTTCTTGTCCAGCGCCTTGGGCCCCCTTTGAGGGTGGTGGAAAGCGCTATATAAATAAACCTTGATTGATTGATTGATTGATTGATTGATTGATTGATTGATTGATTGATTGACTGATTGATTGGTCTTGTAGCCCAGGCTCTGCAGTTTTGTTAAGCCTATACTTCTCCGTCAGAAGAGAGACACGCACAGACAGACGGAGATGGCTTGCTCTCTGACTTCTCCGTCTCCTGGGAGTGTTACAAAGCAATTCTCTACCAGGACAACAGAGGGCGTAGTGCTGTTCTGTGGTATCCTGTAATGTACCCGGACCAAGATGGTGCACTTACTATTGTGTTTATATTGTAGGGTATTATTTTTTTTTTTTTTTTGTATTTCAGAGACTTTTTAACACAGACAAATGTGTCCCTCATTCTTCTCCACCTCTTCATGTGCTCGCCACCTCTAAACCTACGTTAACCGTCATTTTCGTCCATGAATAAAATGCTTGCTGCGTATTTTTTCACTCCTCCAACAATGGGTGAATTAAAAAAATAAAAATAAATGTTCATATTTTTTGCGTTTTTCCAGGAGGTATTCTTGAAGCTGCTCTGTGTCTGCTTCCAGATAACTTCAGCTCTCTTTATGTTTTTGAGGGCACAATGGCGGCGCTGTCACAAGCTTGCGTTCTCCTTCTCGTTGGACAGATGTTTAGACTCCATCCTTGCGAGCCTGCTGAAGATCGCTCGAAAGGACGGATAATGGCGTTGCGTTAATCCGTCCCGACGCAGATGGATTAGGCTTTAGAGGTTCAGCATGATGGTATTTATATAGAGCATAAACTGTGATGCTAAACATTTTTGCCTCCTAATTGGGGGACGCTCAGGCTCAAGCAGTAATTATTTTAACGTGGTTTTTGTTCAAATTAATTAATCGTGATAAACATGTTTAATTCCCACACCTAAAAAATATATAGACAGGCAGGCAGGTAGAGACGGACGGACGGACGGACGGACGGACGGATGGACGGACAGACAGACAGACAGACAGACAGACAGACAGACAGACTGACTGACAGACTGACAGACAGATAGACAGACAGATAGACTGATAGACAGACTGATAGACTGACAGACAGATGATAGATTGATAGATAGATGATAGATTGATAGATAGATGATAGATGATAGAACAAATTTCTTAAACTAAAATTCTAAACAGTTAATTTCAGAGTCATTAAAACTGTTAAACAATTAAGTTTATCTCAATTTCAGCCAAGCAATGATGACTGAAATAACATCTGTTAACTAATGTAGGGGAATTTCAGGAAGAGCAAGCAAGAAAGTGGGAGATTAAGCCAATCAGAGGGATTGAGAGAAATCTCCTGATTAAAATATGTACCATCACTAGAAAAAATGGGGGGAAAAGAAAAAAGGCATGAATGTGTGGGAAAGACACAGAGAGCAAAGAAACCATGATTTGAAGTTACATCCACTGAAGTAGTTACTCTCAGCAGATTGTAGATTATTACATAATCTTTGCTGAGCTCATAATCATAATCTGTTTCAAAGTACTTAAAAGTAAATCGCATAAATCATTTCTGATTCAGATAAACAATTCCTGAGAAGTCACGATTACAAAACAGTCTTTTGCTCTGCAAGTAAATCTCCACAAGGACACTTGAGGAAGCACATTTAGGATGCAAACGGCTAAGAGGAACACACACACACACCATAAGGCATTACACACTGTGACTGTCAACAAGGCGCAGCCAAGCCCCTCAAATGGTTACGATATAGATTTATGTGCTCTGACACCCCACAGATGGTGAGAATTAGTGAAGGAGGGGGTGCCAGCGAGAGGTCAAGAGAGATGACCTTGCCTTCAGCCTGCCACTTGGGAAACCAAAGCAACAGACATGTGAAGCAAGAGCCCGAACGCAGCCAAAGCAGCTGTTATGGAGGCTAAAAAAAAAGAAAGTGCTCCGGTAAACCGCTTTAATCTCATCACCCTTAGAGATAAACAGCACCGGGAGCAGCTGCAGCAGCACAAATGTGCATGAGAGCAGACTGGCAGGCAGAAAAGCCTCATCGATTTTGACAAAGAGTAGAAAGAGAATTCTGTAAATATGAAGGCACGCAAATCAGATCAAGTAGGTTTCTAAATTTATAATCATTGATTATCATTATTATTATTTTTTTCACTGCATTGAAACGATTCTGCATTTGAGGCTTCTTGTCTATAAGCCAGGGCTTACCGGTAATGTGAAAGATGACATTAATGAATCATTTAGCTGAGGATTAAAAGCTAACGAGTGAAGAGACTCTGATTTTTAAACAGCTGACAATAAAGCATCTATGTTTTTTTAGATAAAAACGAGGAGGAATGAGGGGATTTGCTGAGGTGGTGGTTACCATATGTCAGACGAAACAAAGAATAAAAACCCCGGAGCTAATAATCCTCTCTAATAAGGACAAAGAATGAGAAGGTCTCACCTGATTGATGTGTTTGAGTTTGTCGATGAGCTGGTTTATAACCGGGTCGTCTCCCTTCACTTTCACTTCAGGATTGGAAACTTGAGCTCGGACTCCATTTCGAACAATACGCAGCGTGTAGCTGTGGGCAAAAGAAAGATGAACATGTTAAAATGTTTTTAAGTTAAATGGAATTAAATCATTAAGTTTGCTTTCTGGTGTGAAAATCTTAAACACAAATTTTTGTACACAGTTTAAACTTTAAGCTAGAGCTCTAACATTTGTCTCAAGGTTTTCTGAGTTAGAAACTTAACCAGTTTCATATTTGACATCACTCTGCAGCCCTCTGCTGGCCAGATACTGCACTTTACATTTTTGTGGTGTGGGTAGGTGTCCTAAGGGGCACTTGATACCTGCTTAAAGTATCTTTCAGAAGTTTTCCCCTTTCAGAAATGATGTATGATTTTTCAGAAATACATAAACGTATTGTGATAAAATGTAAGCAATACCTCATTTTTTATTTACTTATTTTTTTGCTAAGCACGCCCCTTGCCCCGCAGAGCTCCGTGCAATAGGAAACTCAGCGCCGACCAGAACTAACCAATAGCGTTAATCTACCGCTTACGTGCTTCAAAATTAAGGAATACCTCAGCTGATGCAGAGTTAATGAACTTTTCACGGACAAGTAAGTCTCTAAAATATAAATATATTAGAACACAACATGACATGAGAGTAATACTCGTAAAACTATGTGTTTTAGCTCTGTTTGTCAGCTACAGAAAGACCTAAATAAACCAAAAACGTGAAGTCGCCATCTTAAAAAAAACTGAAAAAATTATTTGTGTGATATTCTTGTCAGCCACTAGATGGTGCCATCTAGGGCTGAAACGATTCCTCAATGACTTCAAATAATTCGAGTACAAAAAAGCCTAGAATGAAATTCTCTGCCTCGAGGCTTCGTTTAATTCATGTTTAATTAATTCATGGCTTTGCAATCACCCGGGGTCACGTTTCACCCGGACCAAAATAAGTGACGCACATACACACTGCACTGAATGCACACGCGATTAGAGAATGTTACTTCACTTTCTCTTAAGCCATGGCGGACAACATGGACCCCGGTGGAGTGTGAAAAAGACAGGAAACGTCAAAGGTGTGGGACCAAGGCGGAAAACGTACTCCAGTGCAAGGGCGTCAGTTTGTTTTCAGAATTGCTGGGGACAATAACCATACACGTGAGTGGGGTTTAAAAATTGCTGTGGACAATAAAGTAGGCTAGCACAGGGGTCAGCGGCTCTGGAACCGCATGCGGCTCTTCCATCCATCTGATGCGGCTCTCTGTGCTTGTGAAATAATGAATGGATATTTAAATAAAAAGCTTTATATTTTACTGCATTAATTTTACATCTGTAAGCTAATTCTAAATGTAAAGATTGTCTGCGTAAACCTGAACAGTTCCAACCCGGTCTTACTGTGAGACCGGGTTGACGCGTCACGCTTGTGCGTAATCATATCGGCGCTTCTGAGCTGCTTTCTGACCTTCCCCACCTACAAAGTTTAATTACAACAATCAAACGTGACAGAGCCTGGATTTGTATTCTGAACAGTCTAAACATGTTTTAAAAAGAAACGTAGGACAAAAGTGGCACCTGCTCAGTAAAACCATCAACAGGGTGAAAAATACCAAAAATTGAAGGCAGAGACGGGCTACAACTTCTGGATCCATTTTATATAAATCGTTTTATTGATTATCGTCTAATGAAAGATAATTAAGACGTACATGAGCGACCAGGCGCGTTGCAAGCTTTTCAAAAGTGTGGGGGATGTTGTCTGTGCCTAAAATAATTTCATGTTATTCATCTTGTTAGTTTAATTTCCATAATAGCGGAGCAGGTGCGAATTTTAGACGCGTCACGCACGTCTCCGTTTCAAACATGTTTAAACTGTTCAGAATACAAATCTAGGCTCTGTCTCGTTAGATTGGTGTAACTAAAGTTTGTACTGAATGAAACTTTACATTAAACCATGTTGAAAAGTAAAGGATCCGATTAAATAGTTTCCCCCTCATTTACAGTCAGTACAGTGCAGTGCGCACGGCTCTGGGGTTAATCAAGTTTAATTGTAACATTAATGTGTTACTGGACACGCTGGTCTGGTTGGTTAGACCAGTGTTTGAAGTGGAAAACACACACACACACACACACACACACACACACACACACACCAATTAAAATAATGCTGATAGCGTGGACTAGAAGACAGGTGATGGTTTACGTATTTAAATGATGATCAGGCTGCTATAAAATGTAATCTCCATCCACATCCAGACACAATCATCCTCTATTCTTTCTCTATTTGCTCTGCTCTTGTCTGGGCTGACGTCGCTGATGGTGCGCGGCACGCCTAACTAGCGGCTGATGCACATTTTACGCATTTGGAGAGGTGGACTGGATGCTTTGCGTTTACTGGAAGTTGGTCCACTTAACGCACGGTTGTAGACTAAATATTAATGACAAATGAATGAAAATTAAATTGTGAGTTTTTACTTCATATTTTAGAAATAAAAATGACGGGGGAACACATTTATGACGTCTTTTTAAACTAAATTTTCTAGCGCGACCTGCCTGCTTCACTTAAGTCACTGCTTATTAAGGTCCGTCCAAAATTACCGTGGCCCATCCAAAAATGAAAACCTGGCGCCGCGCCAGTTATAAACCTCTGCAAATTGTTGTTCTTCACTTTATCAAACTCAGACTTTGTACAGCTAATGTCAAGATGTAAAATTATGAATTCAGTCGAGCTCTTCCGTCCCTCCCTCTCCTGCTCTCCTAGAAACCCGACATCGGCTGTCAGAAGAGGGAGGTGAAGAAGGAGATGAGGCAAACAGAGTGAGAGCGACGTAAAGAAACCAGACTGGTGTGGAGGTGAGCAAAACAGCTGGAAAAGTGTGGGTGTTGAATCCCCCACGGGTGCGATGCCCCCGGCTGCTGTCACCTGTTGTGAGCAGCGCTCTGCTGTCTGAGGGTAGGCCCCGCCCGCAACGCTGCAGCTGCTGCGGTGTTTTCTTTACCGTGGGAAACGGGTAATAATGGCTCTTTGATGGGAACAGGTTACCGACCCCTGGTATAAGATCTGAGCTGGTAAAACAAAAATCCTCATCAGCAGGCTTTTTTGAAAGAGGGGGGGACACAGCTGCCAATCACGAATTTTGCCGGGGACATGTCCCCGGCGTCCCCGGTTAAAATGACGCCTATGCTCCAGTGTAAATACCGAACATGGATTTAGCCTACCACAACACCACAGCCTCGATGCTGCAACACCTGACGTCCACATGTAAATGTCACTTCTACGAACGAACTCGGAGTCTCTACAAGATAATGCATTTTAGGCTGTATTTCTATATATTCTGCGGACACTGCGACCTTTTTGTTTGTAGCACTTAGTTTCAGCTCACACCGTACGTCTGGTAGCAACACGTCGGACTTAAAATGTGCTAAAAATAGCAGTTTTTACAACACGTTGGACTTTTTATTGTGTTGTTATTGATGTCTGTTGTCCCTCTGGGTTGCTGCAGGAGGACACAGGTATTTATTATAGTGGCGGAGGAAAACGAAAGAAAGTAAATAAATGTTTTGTGATCTGTATAATTTGACATAACCATGCACGGCAAACATGCTTTATCGACAATCCTTGTTATTGTGTGAGAAAAAAAAGTGTAGAAATTAAAACGGACGTGTGTTAATAGGGAAACAGCTGGCGAGCCATGTTTGCGCATGCGCCTTGAGCGGTTCTGGTGCTGTTTGGGCCGCAGCCGCTCACATTTGTTTACTGTGAAGTAAAGTTGAAGTGCTGAAATTTTGAAAACTAACTTTGAATAAAACTTGAAGAATAACGGGCAATTGCTTGCTCATTTTAAGAGGTCTTTCATATTTTATAACATGCTATTTGATATGGGTTTACAAACACAAAAGGGTAATTCATTAGAGTACTCAAATAATCAATAAAAGATTCGATAGAGTACTCGATTACAAAAATATTCGATAGGTGCAGCCCAAGTGCCATCGGATAACGGAAAGAGACTTATGGCCATTAGCTGTTTTCTGCGCCAGTAGCTAATAAAAGAATAGCAGTTAGCATTTTCAGTTCACCAACCATCAATAAAATACACAAATAGAAGAAGAAAAAGAAGTTTGCTTTTATGTTGGCATCACGGTGGAGGCTAGAAGTAAAAATCTGAGAATTATATCTTTGGAGGTGAAGCAAAGAGCTGAAACCAAAGTGAAAAATGAAGAAGAAGAAGAAGAAGAAGAAGAAGAAGAAGAAGAAAATATCATTTCTATAGCGCCTCTCAAGATAAAAATCACGAGGCGCTTAAATGGCACCGCCTACACTCATTTAGGAAAGCTAATGGAGACTATGAACTCATAGGCCAATGCTTGGTGATCTGGCTTTGTTGCTACTGAACTTGTAAGTATTAATTCATTTTTTGACCAACAGTGTGGATCTTTGGCTTATTTAGTAAGACTCAGCTCTCATTAGTGTTAGCTTGTTGTTAGCGCTAGCTACAGCAGGCTGCTGCAGGGTTGTTTACAACAGTTGTAATTCTACTCCCATCCTATTTAGTGTTACTTTAAAGGGGAACTAGGCAGTTTCAGCGTGCTTTTAGCACCCCCTAGTGTCCGTTTGTAGAACCAAATGCAAACCATATCTTCTGCTGTGCGTTTGTCTTGTAACTGTCATGTTCAGGGTGGTGGAGATGATGGACCATGTATGGTGGAGAGTTCCAGGAGGCAGGAATGCAGGCACGGATAAAGTAAAAATGGGTTTAATGACAAGATATGGCAGGAACAACTAGAACAACACGACAAACAACAATGATCTGACAAAGACTGGCACAAGGAGGGAGGTATAAATACACAGGGAAATCAGGAACACATGGGCAGGTCAACGAGGGGCAGGTGAGAACAATAAGGGCTAATCAGGGCAGGAGAGGAACACAGTCAGGAAGGCAGGGGCAGATTGTGACAGTAACACTTCAATCTAACAGCTGAAATGTCTCCCCAGCCTTCATTAATGTCTACAGGAGTGATTCATCACTAAATTAAACAAATCAGCCGTGTTCATGATCTAAAACATGTAGGA